TAACTTCCTATCACCTGTCTTAGAAAAGCCACAAATCTTTTTCTCTTAACCTTTCTGGGTAACTAACAGTTACTCATTCATTTTATTGGGGTAATGTAGGCTTTAATTTACAAGGTTATGAATATTTTATGGGCACAATGCCACACCTCCTAAGAATATATGCTCCAACCTTACAGCTTGGAGCGGAGTGTGAGAGAATCAGACAGTCACACGGCTTGGTTGTAGCACTTGTAGCACTTGACCATTCCATCTAAATAATGACTCAAAATTTGCAAGTTGGGGACAATGGAGATAGCTCAGTGGGCTAGGGGAAAACTGAAAATTTCCTAGGTTACTAGTATTATATATATGTAAACTTATTATATAATTACCCTATTGAAATGAAAGTGTATGTTTAAAAAAAAAGTCATAGAGGCCAGAACAATAGTACAGCAGGTAGAGTGTTTGCCTGGAGAAAGCCAACATGAGTTTGATACCCAGCATTCATAGGGTCCCCGAAACAGTGCTAGGACTAATTTCTAAGTGCAGACCCAGGAGTCACCCTGAGCATCACTGGGTATGACCCCACAACCAAAAACTTAAAAATTAAAAAAATAAAAACCATAATCTAACAATTATTCTGATTCCTCATCACGGAAGTGCAAAGACCCTCCAGAAAGAAAGACCTTAGGCTCTAGCAGAGTCACCCGGAGGTGACACCTGGCAGGCATAGAGTCTACCTAGGACTAGCGCAGTTCAGTTCCAGCTCTGCACCACATGCATCCTGCAGGTTAGTTCAGGGTCAAACAACCCAAGCAAATGAGAAAAACCCTAAGAAATACATGAAACAGCTTTTGGTTCACTTACCAGGAATGTCCCCTTCAAGACTCCACAACAGTCTGAAGATATATACATTCGGGTCAACATGTTTACAACAGAAAATCCTTCAAGGAGCCCCTGAGAGGGGTGGGGGAATGGAAAGGAGCTAGTTTTAGTGCAAAGGGATTACTGACAGAGCCAGAGGAAAACAGCGGTTTGGGACAGGCAAACGCTCTCCAAGCCGGATGTCTGCAGGGACCATGCCCAGGACCAGACACAGAAGGGCAATGCAAAAGAACCATCCCCAAAGGATAAATTAACAGCTCTCCCTTTAGCTGGAAGCATCTCTGTACCATACCACCACCCAGGAATTCAAACAGCACTATTTACCTCCAAAGTTCTATTTTCCTACCTGTATGCCTCAGTCTACTTAGAGCCTAAGTTACCATGCAGATCAAAGATTTTAAATCAAGAAACACACTAGTGGGAAGATGCGCTGGGCATGAGAATTCAAGTGAACTGCTTCCAAACAGCACCTCAATCATTCTTGTTAAGGACTTGAAAGGCTTTTGTACTTATGACAATATTTTATGCACTTAGTTAAGTAAAATTATATCTGGCACAAAATCCTCAAAAGCGTGTAAATTTGCTGAATGATCATTGCACAGTGATATTTGAAAAATTATTCTGAGATATTATGAGGTATCTAATATAACCACTCTAACCTCCAAACAATGTTCATTTTAACCTGTTTCAGTTAAATTTTCTAAAAATCTAATTTTAGTGTATTTTAACTATTGACGATAATCCTCTCTTAAAAATTCTTCTATGACTTTTCATAGTGATCCTCATGCCCTATTCTTAGTTCACATTCACTGTGTGTTGGTTTTTTATCTTTATTTTTCTTATGTGAGTCATCATTTGTAAGTCATCATTTAAAAACAAAAGTTTCTATGTATAGCAGCACATTTATACATATAAATGCATCTGTATGTGCAAATAGACCATTGGCAGTCATACATTTAAGCATATCTACATGTTAATATGTTACAATTTTAGTGTTCTTGGGTGTGTTAAGACCACTTTTTTATTTGAAAACTTTTTCTATTGTTATTTCTTCTTTTAGAAAGATATCTCCCATTCCAATATTCTATATCATTTAGATTTTATTCTAATTTTTGTTAATTCATTTAGTTTCCACCGTTTAGATCTGTAGTATGGAATTTTCTTGAGTCAATATTTTTGAATCTTAAAAAGATTTCCAAACTCTATAATGTGACTTATCTTTTTGCTATTGGTTTGTAATATTTCATCACATAGTATATGGGGTATGTATATTCATATCTATATTGACTTGTTACAAAAGTGATGACTTGAATATATTGAAAGTTTTGTCAAATCATTAATATAATCTAGTTTTACTTCTTTTACTTTACTTGCTTAAAATAATTTATGGGGGCAGGAGTGGGTAGGGCATTTGCTTTGCACGTGACCAACAAGGTTCAATCCCCAGCACCCCATTAGTTTCCTTTAGCTTGCCAGGAGTAATCCCTGAGCACTTCCAGGAGTGGTCCCTCAAAAAAAAAGTAAAATAATTTGTGCATATTTTACCTATGTGGAATTAGCCATATATCCATAAAAAACATTACACAATGGTGACAGTATGCATCTGCCTTTTATTTTAGCTTTTCTCTTTGTTTTGTCAAAAGCACTTTATTATTAGATTACTAAATATTCTTTATGGTTTGGGGGGTATTTTACTTCATTTTCTTGAGATCACTGATATGTTCTAATTGGATCAAATTATATAAATAAATTATTTCATACAAATACTCTCATATTCTTGGATAAAATTCTCTGTGCTATTGTTGAGCTTCTTTGGTGCAAGTTTAAGAATTTCACACCTACATTCGTGAGTGATGTCAGCTTTTAAAGTTTGCTTTTCATGCTGCCTTGGTAAGCTTTGATATCAGGATTATTCCTAAAGAACTGGGACCATAGTCTGGGAAATTTACCGCATGATTCATTTTACAGAACTCACTAGGGTTAGGAATTGTTTGGGAAAATTTTCCTTATAACATTCATCTTTATAATCTTCGGTTTTGAATTCCTCTGAGTTGATACTGATTTTTTTTTTTTACTGAACTTGGTCCACTTCACTAAATTTCTCAAGATTATAAAGTTCCAAGCCAGAGCAATAGTACAGTGGGTAGGGCACTTGCCTTGCACATGGCAAACCCGGGTTCAATCCCTGGCATCTTATATGGTCCTTCAAGCACAGCCAGGAGTATTTCCTGAGTGCAGAGCCAGGAGTAGCCCCTGAGCATTGCTGGATGTGACCCAAAAAGCAAATAAATAAATAAATCAAAGTAGCTGCTCTTTAAAAAAATAAAAATTACAAAGCTGTTTTAATACTTTTTAAAATCAGCATTTTTTCTTTTTAAATGAACCATTTAAAATCGGGAGCACCTGGGGTGACGCCTGGCAATGACTGGCCCGAGGTACCATAGAGCAATGCTGGGGGTAATGCAGGCTCGGGCACGGAATTCGGGCCATCCGGTGGCAGCTCTATCAGTGAGTCCTATCCCTGGCTTCTCTTTTTTTAATAGCTAATGTTTTTTGTTATCAGAGCCTGGCAGGAGAGAGGAATAGTGAATCAATGTGACTTTATAAAGAAATATAGTTGAGGAATAACAAATGCCCAAAGACATCAGAAACTGAGAACTGGTCTTCAGTAAGAAGTTCCCACCGGGAGTACTGGACATAGAGAAGGTCACTGGGAAAATGGTGGAGAGAAATGGATACTGGTAGAGAGTGTGGTGCTAGAATGTCTTATATATGAAATTCTGACCAATAACATTTTTGTAAATCACAGGGCCTAAAATTAAATATATCTGCACAAAAATATAGAATAAAAATTATATATATATATATATATATATATATATATATATATATATAGGGCCAGAGCGACAGTACAGCATTTGCCTTGGATGCAATTGATCCTGGTTCAATCCCTGAGCACCACCAGGAGCCATTCCTAAGAGCAGAGCCAGGAGCATGTCCAGCTGTGGTCTAAAAACAAAATGTAGGGGGCTGGAACAACAGCACAGTGGGTAGGTCATTTGCCTTGCATACGGCCGACTCAGGTTCAAGTTCCAGCATCCCATTTGGTCCCCCAAGCGCCAGGAGTAATTCCTGAGTGCAATGGCCTGAAGTAACCCCTGTGCATTGCCAGGTGTGACCCAAAAAGCAAAAATAGATAAATAAATAAAAATGTATTTTTGATGTGTATGTATGATATTGTTAACTCAGTGACTAGAGATCTAATAAAGTTAACTCAGTGACTAGAGAAAGATATATAGCCTTAAATATTAGCATATTAAAAATATTTAATTACCCTAAGAAATTCCACAGAATACATGCAATAAAAAATGTAATGTAAAAAGGAAAATAGTGCACAGCTGGTAGGGCGTTTGCCTTGCACACGGTCGACCCGGGTTCAATTCCCAGCATCCCATATGGTCCTCTGAGCACTTCCAGGAGTAAGTCCTGAGTGCAGAGTCAGGAGTAACTCCTGAGCATCACCAGGTGTGACCCAAAAAGAAAAAAAAAAAGGAAAATAGTGGAGGTAAAGCCTAAGCAGAAAAATACACTAAAAAGATTTTCAAGTGACTATATACCTCAAGCCAATTTACAAAGGTGATTCTGGAAGAAATAATGGTGCCTGCGGCCTGAGTTGGTTGGGTGGAGCAGACCATTTTTCTGGGTTCCAAGGCTCCTCCTTAGATGCTGCCCGCCTGATCTTTGTTAGGATCTCCCACTGAGTACCCAATTTTCTCCCCACACCCCAAATTCTGTGTGATCATCCCATTCTGCCACTCTAGTTGCTGACTGCTCACGTCCATGAGCTTGACTCCTGCTCTTCTCTGATCCCCACCTAGCATTAAAGACTTCCGGGACATGGAAGTGCCCCCACTAGCTCCTGGGGTCAAAGGTCATGGATTCCATGACCGTTGGCAGCCCTGCAAACAGGTTGGCCTCTGAGTTGAGCTGTGGCAAGCAGGCCTGATCTCAGTTCTTAGGGTGACTTCAGATTTGGCCACTGCCACCGAGTCCGTCGGAGAAGGGACTGACTCACCTACTCAGAGGGGGAAAGAGAGAGTCTCAGGGTGTGCTCAGCAGGTCGGCCCTCCTCTGTGATGGAAAATCAAAACCGATACAGAAACTTCTGCGCTGTCATCTTGTTTTTCTCTTCCTGGGTCTTAATCTTTCTGACAGCAGGAATTGTCGTGGAAGACTGGGTTCACCTGAATACAGAAAATATGCCGAATACAAAAAATAAGCCGATAAGTCACAGTCCCTGGAAAAGCAGCAAGGATGATCTGTGGCAAGGAGGTCAGACACCTGAGATGAAAAGAGATGGTTGGGGGGGGAGGGGGGCCGGGAAGAGCCTCTCCTCTCTCCTGCTGACCTGGGAATTTTCAGGCAGGTCTTCTCCCAAGGCTCCCACTCCACCCCACCACCACCCCCACCCTCACCCCTGTCCCGGCAGAGTCCAAATTCTCTCTGTGTACTTATTTTAGGGAAAAACTTAGAAGGTCACAGACTCAAAGCTGAGCACTCAGAAAGCCTTGGCTACGGCAGACCTGGGGGTAAGGGGGTCAGAGAAAGGTCACTTACAGAAGGGGAAATGGGCCACACCACCAACTGCAGGAAGACAGCGGAAGTGGAGGGTTTTTCTAGTTCTGTAGTGCTAAGGATAATGTCTGGAGCCTTTGGGGGCTGGAGAGATACTACAGCAGATAGGCCATTTAAAGTCTTGCATGCAGCCAACCCAAGCTCGATCCCTCGCACCCCCTATGATCCTTTGAGTCCGCCAGGAGTGATCCCTGCTTGCAGAGTCAGGAGTCAACCCTGAGCATCACCAGGTGTGACCCTAAAACAACAACAATAAATCCTGGGCTTCACGAGTACAAGGCAGACATGCTCCCACTAAGCTAGATCTTTGGCCCCTAAATTGAAGAATTTTTTAAGTAATTAATTCTGAGATAAGAATTTAAGGAAAGGAGAGTTTCAGGACACTAAATTGGAGAACGGTGTTTTCTGATTCTTTTTTTCCCACTCATTTAGGGCCCCTGGGTCCTTAATTACTTAATCCAATCTCCCATCCTTCCCCAATTTCACCCAGACACTTGTCTCCAGATGGAAATGAGCCCCCAAAAAGCAAGCTGTCTCTCCTTACCCTGGCCTCTGCTTCCCACCAGATAACACAGAAAACATCAGGATCATGATGGGAATCATTCTCAGCCTCGCCTTCTTCTACAACTTTTTCCTGGGCTTGGGATTCACTTATATGATTCCGCGCAATGAGCATTCCTGCTTCACCTCTATTGTCCTCAGTTTCCTCACAGGTAACTGCCTGGCCCCCCAAAAAAGACTGTCTACTTACTTGGCTTGGAGGTCTAGGCCACAGTTGCTGGCCAACTCAGCTTTCCTCGGCCTTGGCTTCAGACATGGAGCGTTATCAGCTCTGCTGATCTGAGACTGAACTGAGTGAGGACAAGGGACCATGGTACCGGGTGGAGACCCTGGGAAGATCCTGGGCAGGACAGGCATCAATGAGCCAAACCTCATCAGCAGGTCCTGTTCTCTCTTTCTTTCTGGACTTCAGGTATGTTCTTGCTCATTACACTCCTGGCGTACCACTACAATATAAAGCAAGGCCACCACAGGTTCTCTAATTACAAGTTGACCTGGATAACTTTCATCAACTACGTGAATGTGTTCATCCTCATCACCTCAGGTGAGTCTCCATGGTGACTCCTCCCAAGAGTGCAGAGTGTGAAAGGACGAGAACAGGGCTGAGTCTGTGTGCTAAAGAGCTCACGGTCACGGGGCCAAGGTCTTCAAGACAGGCCCTGCAGTAGCAGTGGGAGACAGGGCTGTAGATGACGTGCTTGTCCCAGCGAGCAGCTCCTGGCTACCCCCTCCAGTCTTCCGGGCCTCTCCACCACAAAAGCCCAAACTCAGGGCCAGAAAGATAACCCAGTGCACTGAGCTCAGGTGTTCCATGCAAGAGGTCCTGCACTGCAAGATTGCCCAAACACTTCCAGGAGGAAGCCCTGAGAACCACTACATGTGGCCCCTAAGAACAGGGTGGGGTGTCCTGGCTGAACGGCCACCCATCCACTCCTACCAGTTGAAGCTTCCATGTGGGGTTGCACTTCTGAGCTCAGGGGCATGCCCTCTTGCAAAATCTCTGTGGACCTACCAGCATTTGAGTTATTCTGCATGTATTTCCAGTTCCTTCCACTACAACACTCCCCTCCTGGGTGGACTCAGGCAGGTCCAGGGGACACCCAGGGTTTCCGGTCAAAGACTCCCCACCACTGCGGAGGGAAAGGTCTGCAGTTCTCTTTCAGACTCCTTCACTGTCTCCTCCGGCTTCTCTTTCCCCAGGAATCCTCTCTCTCCTGGTGTTCTCCAGTGGCTCTTTCTTCCTGAACACCATCCATGTATGCTCTGGACACATACCGAAAGAAGTGAAAGGCATGGAGACAAGCACATCTGATGCAATACCAGAACAGAAGATCCCGCGTAGTATCGTCCACAGACATTCGAGTGACCAGACCGAACACCGGCCACAAGTCCAAGGGCGCCGGGTAACCTGGGCTCTGTGATTGACAAGCTTGTCTTAGAATAAAGTCTCAGCTTAATGGAAACCAAAGTGTGGGTGTGAGCTTTGTCTGTCTCCAAGCGTGCTGTCCACCATCTACATTCTGCAAATGACCGTTGATGGGTTTGAGGTCTAGAAGCAAATCCAGGAGATCTGGAGGGGAATCTTATTTGATGGGGGGCCTGGGGGTGTGCGTGGGGAGGTCCTCTTCTACAATAGTCATCACTAAGAAAATACTGTCATATTACTTATTATTGCTATACTGTTAACTCTGTTACATAGAGCTAAGTCATTACATACATACTTAAGTCATTACAAAGACTTCATATGCCTTTCATTTTATTGTGATAGACTTGGATTATTCTGAAAGAACACAACATAATATAACCCGACTATCCATTACTTGAGTGACATGTTCTATTTGTTTTAGATGTAAAATAATACCTATAACTGATATTCCTCTAAAATATCCCCTAATCTCATTCTGTGTCCTTGTTTCTCATAATATACTTTCAATGAACATTAGTAATCAGTGCTCATTTTTACTATATGTCTGCATCTACAAACGTGTCTTTAGTCTTTATAGTCTTTCTAATTTATAATTAGCTTTTCAATTATCCAACAATAATTCAGTGACAAGTGACATGCCATAGCATTTTGTTGTTGTTGTTGCAAATCACTTTGTTCACAACTCTATTATTTTGTGATAATAGATCAATTTTGTTCCACTTCATTCATAAGAACTATGATTAAGCATTTTTCTGTAGCACTGTAGCACTGTCCTCCCGTTGTTCATCGATTTGCTCAAGCGGGCCCAGTAACATTGTGAGACTTGTTGTTACTGAGTTTGGCATATCAAATACGTCATGGGTAGCTTGCCAGGCTTTTCCATGCGGGAAAGATTCTCTCAGTAGCTTGCCAGGCTCTCTGAGGGGGGCAGAGGAATCGAACTTTGGTTGGCTGGGTCAGCCACATGCAAGGCAATGTGCCCTACCTGCTGTGCTATCGCTCCAGCCAAATTCTTCTGTAGGATCATAAAAGTTAGTACAGGGGTTCAAATGTTTGCTTTCCATGGTGACCCAGGTTAGATCTCCATAACACATATGGTCCCCTACACACTGAGCAAGGAGTCAAGAGGAGTAAGACCCTGAGCACTACTGAGTGTGGCAATAGTAGTCAAACAGAAAGGCTATTATGGTGGAGATGTCATAAGATACACCTTCTCCATTTTTTCATTTTCATTTCATCATCCTGTTATTCGTCGATTGCCTCGAGCAGGCCCCAGTAACGTCTCTTTCATCCTAGCCCTGAGATTATATTCAAGGCTCTTTAGGAGAATGAGACCCATCATTGTTACTGGTATTTGGCATATTTGGTACGCCACGGGGAGTTTGCCAGACTCTGCCCTGTGGGCAGGCTACATTCGATAGCCTGCAAGTTTGTCCAAAGTAGGAATGAGACAATAAGATGTCATAAAAAAAAGTTCTGATAAGATGTCCGGGATCTGGATTTTATAGTCTCTGAGTCTTGGCCACTGATGGGATTACACGGCGCCAGGGGGCCAGGTGGTGGGTGTGACCCCCGCCTACTGGAATTTGGAGGATCTGGGTGGAAGATGCTCGACTCCAATCCGAGTAGGCTTGGAGGTCTCGGCCCCGGAACCCGCGTGGCTTTGTCCCTCTGCCAGTACCTTCATGTGTGCGGAGAGTGGTCTCAGCATGGTGGTGGCTGGTCCTGGAGGTCTTCGGCTGCCGGAGCCCTGGTCGGGGCGGGGAGGAAAGCTCAACCCGCTCGCCTCCAAGGGGCCTCGGGAAGGAACACCCAGGTGCGGGGGCAGAAGACTGCACTTCTGCACCTTCTCCCGATGATGAAAATGTAGCTGTTTCCTCTTCTTCTGTTCTAAACAATGCCATAAACATTCTTATGCATACACACAGCTCCTTCCACCCATGGGCAGGAGTTTCATCTATAACTAGAATAACTATTATCAGAAGTCATATTCATTTTGAAGTTACTTCAACAATGATAAATGAGCTAAAACATAGCTTTACAAATTCATACTTCTGCCAGTGGTATATAGGTTCTAGTTTTTCTTTGAGCCTTGTCATCACTTGTATAATCGGTCTTCTTATGGGGAAGTTGGGAAGGGGGGCACACCCAGTGATATTCAGGGCTTACTCCTGGCTCTGCTCTAGTAATTACTCCTGGTGGTGCTCGGGGGACTAAATGGGATGCTGAGATTCAAACACAGGTCAGCTGCGTGCGAGGCAGGCACTTTACCCTCTGTACTATCTCTCCAGTCTGAATAGGTCTTTATTATTATGAGGAATTTTCACAGTGAAGGGCTAGTGGTTCTGATAGCCAGCAAGGCTGTACCTTGCAGTGCTCAGGAGGCCATGCAGGGCAGGACAAATTGATCTCCCAATCCTCACCTCCCACCATCAGTCTTCTCAATCTCTATTGAGCAGTCACTGCATTTGTGCATCTTTTCATTTTACTACTGAGGTCTGGGTTTCCTCTTCTATAAAATACCAGCTGATTATTTTCCTTACATATCATTTCTTTGCTCGAGGTAAAGGCCCTCCCGTTGATCATCGATTTGCTCGAGCGGGCCCAGTAACGTATCCACTGGAGATTTTGTTGTTACTGTGTTTGGCATATCGAATCACGGGTGGCTTGCCAGGCTCTGCCCTGCGGGCGAGATACTCTTGGTAACTTGCTGGGCTCTCCGAGAGGGGTGGAGGAATCGAACTCGGGTCGGCCATGTTGGCTGCGTGCAAGGCAAACGCCCTACCGCTGTGCTATTGCACGCAGCCAACATGGCCGACCCGAGTTCGATTCCTCCGCCCCTCTCGGAGAGCCCAGCAAGTTACCAAGAGTATCTCGCCCGCAGGGCAGAGCCTGGCAAGCCACCCGTGATTCGATATGCCAAACACAGTAACAACAAAATCTCCAGTGGATACGTTACTGGACCCGCTCGAGCAAATCGATGAACAACGGGAGAGCTTTTTTTTATTTATCATTTCTTGGTTTGTAGTTTTTTAGCTTATTATAAACCGATACTAATTATTTGGTGCCTTGGCCTTAACTTTGATGTATTTTTGTTTTTACAGATATTTGTTGGGTAACATTACTTTGTCCTTCAAGAAGCGTAGGTTTATCTGGTTACACCCATCAATCTGGTTACACCCATCACAGTGCTCCTGAAGCACTTCCACTTCCATTGTGTTTACATGTAAACATGTAAACAATCTTCCCTATGCTCTCCTTCCCACCCAGTTAATCAGCTTTCCCCTTAATCAGACTTTGTTAATTTGTAAGATCAGTTTCCCAGAAATCTATGATTTTATATATATGAGTGAAATATTGCCTTTCTCCTCTCCTTATGCCTTATGAATAGTTTACCTTAAAGTAATATCCTTTTTGTATAGATACAGGAAGACCGTTAACATTATGCTTTGTAACTTAGGATTTGATTGGCCTTGAATATTATTCACTCCTGAGCATCTGCTTTCTCGACTTAAGCCTCAGTTGCCCTTAGTTCCTAACACCCCAAAAGCAGGGTCCCAACGAGGGACTGAATGGACCCAGGGCAAGCGGTGAGCTACCCTGGCAGCGAAATGGGCCAGGCCAAAGTGCCACGATTCTTAACTATAAGTTAAGAGTTTGATCATAGACAAATGCTGTCATGATCCAAAGGTAACGACAAGACTAGGATCCTGCTAGGGGTGGGAAAGACTATCTGGCCTGACCACCGTAGTCTGAGATCGAGATGGCCCTAGGAGAGCAATTCTATAAGTTTAAGATATTTCTTACTGTATCCATACAAAATGATTTATATTATATTCTTATATGCTTGTCGGACAAGGAGAGGAGAGGCACGCCCATGGGATTATGCTCTAGGGTGGGTCCTCCTGCTGAGGAAGGATCTGTCCTAGGAGCGGCCTTCCCTGAGGCTAAGATTTCTACCCCTGTTGATCTCTACCCCTATTGATTGTGACCACACCTATGTAATTGTTTTCCCCAATTCCTCTTGGAGAGAGATATAATGAGATTGTAGATTGGGCATGGGAGAGCAGAGAGACAAGGAGAGACAGAGAGAGACAGGAGCAGAGACAGATGAGGAGAGAATCAGAATAAACTACGACTAATACCTACCAGCCTGGCCCTCATTCCTTCCTCCACCTGACCATCGCCATCGACCTCTCCGGGGTGGGAGAAGGGTGAGACTACCGAACGCGGGCGGCGGGAGAGATAGAGCCACCGCCGCTGTGTGGGGTGCCGTGCCCCCTCTTTGTGTGAGTTTACACAATATTCAATTCAACATGCCTGAAATCTTTTTAGTTGGTGCCTATCTATAGATCCCAAATTTAAAAATACTACCTCCTGAGAGCACCAGGATAATGGACAGGGTACAATTGGGGGGTGCTTTCTGCTTGGTCACTTAAAGACAGATTTCAAGGGGAAGTGTGGCAGCAGGGAAGGATACTGAGTAATTTTCTTCTGAGAAGGAAGCAGTAGACCACATAGAATATGTGCGTATATACACAGAAAAAGCCCTTCCTATGGGAATGACCAACATGATTTTTTTCTGCATATATGCACACATATTCTACATGGCTGTAGTCAAAATGTTTGTCTTTACTTCACATAATAAGGTCTTTGTCTTTGGTGTGGGGGGTGAGGGGTGGGGGGTGGGGGGAGAGGGTCAGGCCCTATAGTGCCAGGGACACCAGGCTCCTCTGGCAGAACAAGGGACCGTCTAGGGCCACAGCTGGCAGTGTTCAGGGACTTCCAGGTCAAAATGTGGCATTGAGCGGGGACCATGTGGTACCAGGATCCAAACCCAGGCCAAGTACATGCTAGGCATGCACCCTAACAGCTCTAGCATCTCCCAGCCCTGCAAAAATAATCTTAATGCTTCGACACTGGCACATACTACCTGTGGCTCACACTTGAATGTAGGTTAACAAATTGCTGTGCCAGAGACAACTTGTTGAAATGGTGGTTCTATTGAAGGCACAATAGCCCACTTCGTTTTCACACAAAAATGTCCCACATGTAAACTATGCTAGTAGGCATATGCCCACAGTCTTAGTGCAGAGTGTACAAGTAAAACAGAAGGCAGAAATATTATAAATCATGCTATTCTAATGACATGATGATGATGAAAGAACCAGGAGGGAATTTTTAAGTTGGAATCTGCTGAGTGTACACATGTACAAATGTTTACCCACGCAAAAGTATCAAGGAAAGAAGGATCTATAATATTGTAAAATTGGTGATTGCAAGATTCACTTGCAAATAATTTAACATGATCCCCTCTGGAACAATTAAAACTTTTCTTAAATACTACAAGCTCTGGAGGCCAGAGAGGAAAATGTAATAATTATTCATCTAAATCAGTGTCTGTGTCAGTTAACAGCCATATTTGGGCCCTACTTCTGTGGTCCAAACAATAATTTCAATACCAAGAGGGATTCTTTGCCTTTGGATTTACTATGTGCTTGGTTTTTAGCAATACACATACAAACATTCATGATAAGCTGATCTGAGATTAATTCTATATTACAAAACATTTTCAAGAACCGTAAACTGGGACTTTGAAATTTTGTGTTTAAAAGACGTGATTCAAATAACCTGGACAGGACAAGAATAAATAGGACAGATGTTATCCATAATTTTTTACTTTATGGACATTCAAGAATATAAGAAGGGGGAAGTAGTGATGTTGGTAGTACAAAAGGAGGCAGATGAATAGAATAAAAGCAGTATCAAAAATGAAAACTTTATCTGCCAAAACTGTTTTACTGTACTAGTTTTTATTCATCTTTTCCCCTTTTCAGAAATTTAGTATGCCGAGGCTGGAGCCATAGCACAGCAGGTAGGGTGTTTTTCTTGCATGCAGCTGACCAGGATTCAATCCCTAGCATCCCATCTGGTCCCCCGAGCACTGCCAGGAATAATTCCTGAGTGCAGAGCCAGGAGGAACCCCTGAGCATCGCTGGGTGTGACCCAAAAAGCAAAAAAAAAAAAAAATTAGTATGCTTTTAACACAGAAAATACTTAAAAACTAAATATGAGAGAATATAAAATTGCCGGTAGGGCATTTGCCTTGCACGCAGCCAACATGGCCGACCCGAGTTCGATTCCTCTGCCCCTCTCGGAGAGCCCGGCAAGCTACCGAGAGTATCTCGCCCGCACGGCAGAGCCTGGCAAGCTCCCCGTGACGTATTCGATATGCCAGACACAGTAACAACAAAGTCTCCAATGGAGATGTTACTGGGCCCGCTCGAGCAAATCGATGATCAACGGGAGGGCCTTTATAAAATTGCCACAATTTCCTTGAAAGTCAATATTGAATAGCTATCTGTCCCCAGATTTGGAGATTTCAAGTGTGTGTCACTGAAATAAGAATGCCACTGTGGGCAGGTGCCGCCAGATGTAGGCCTGGAATCCCCTGAGCACTGCCAGGTGTGGCCCCGGAGGTCCTCTGTACCACCAGAGTGGCCTAATATCCCTGGTACTGCAGGGTCTGACCAGTTCTGCTAGGGAGGCCCTCTCCCCCCACACTCTTCCCCACCCCAAAGACAAAAACCTTGTTACTGGCTGTAAGAACAAACTTTTTAACTGCAACCATGCAAAAAAAAATTTATTTTATTTTAATAAAGTTGTTCACAATTTATTACATTCAATATTCCAATACCAATCCCAGCACTATTATACCTTCTCACCACCATGATTTTGAGTTTTCCCAACCACCACCTGAGTCTTCCCCAATAGCGGGCCCTAAATAATTTATCTTATATCGCTTATTATGAATAATTAGCTAAAAATGATCAAAAAAGTTTTCCTACGAAGATAGTATGTGAAGATTGTTGTATCTTGTAAAACTCGTGGAAGGATGTGTGTTCTCGGGCTCTCTGGGAGGCTCTCTCTCACTGCCTGCGTTCGGTGCTCTCGACCTGCTTGTGTATGAACAGGATCGGTAAGGCTGTAGGCAATGGACAGGCAAAGGAAAAACGAGGATCAAGCTGGTTGCTGATTAGTTACCGTTTATTCACTCTCTCGTCTCTCCAGTCTCCTGCATTCTTCCTTTCTTGCCCCTCTTTCCTCAAATCCCACTCATCTCTCTGCGTTGTGTCTCGCAGCCTGAGCTCTTCCTCCCCTCTCTCCATTCTGATCCCCACTGCTTCTCTCTCCACCTTGCCCTCCCGGCCCATGCTCCACTCAGTCTGGAAGCAAAAAACAACATAAAGAAGCCCTTCCTGGTGGCCTGCGGGCAAAATACCTCTTAAGGTGTTTTTCTCCTTTAGTTATATTTGTATGGACACAGCAAGAGATACATTGAAGCTTATAGGGCAGCTCTCCTGGGAACATCTTGTCACAGACTCAGACTACCAGATTAATCATTCCCAACCCTAGTAGGGTCCAAATCTAGTTGTTACTTTTTGGATCATAACAGCATCTGTCCATGACCAAGCTCTTAAGTTATAAATTCCAGGAGGAAAAATATCATTTAGAGTCGAATGACTCCGACATAACAAAAGCATAGCATTTACTACTGTCTTCCTGTGCCCATACAAAAAGGACATTGCTCTGAATAAACTATACAAAGGATTTAAGAAGAAGAGAAAAACAGTGTTTACAAGTCAGTGGAGCACAAAGAAAGATGTTACTAAACTACCTGAGGCTATGCAGGAAGGACAAAACAATGTTATCCTACAGTATCTCACCCTGGAGCCATTAAGCCCTTGTATAAGAGAGTACTACTATGTTGTTACAGATATGTGTGCTACATTTTTTTTTATCAAAACTGGTTGCCTTCTACTTTACATCCCATCCAATGTGGTGTGCTACTCCTGGTACATCAGTGGTATAGAGTAGATGTTCCATAATTTCTAAGATTTTTAAATAAGGTGATACAGCTGGAGTTAAATTTTTAACTGGGTGATGATTTGGGGGGCAGGAGACATCTCTGCAGCTTGTTGATCTCTTCCGAGATTTATTTGTGAGTCTCTGGATCATGGCCAGTTAATGAGCTTATATGGTGCCAGAGGCAGCTTGTGGGCATGACTGCCAAATTCCAGGAAGGAGAAGGGGATGGAGGGAGGTTGCCCATCCCTGATTCTATGAGAGCTTGCAGCCATGTAGATTATGTGTGCATATACACAGGAAAAAATCATTCCCCTAGGAAGAGAATTTTTTGTGCATATGCACACATAATGCAAACAGCTCACTCAAAAAAAAAAGTAAATGCAAGAGCTGAGCAGACACTTCACACATAGAGATGGCCAACAAGCACACGCACACACACACACACACACACACACACACACACACAAATGCTCATTGTCCTGTAGAATCAGGGAAATGCAAATCAAAGCAAATCCATGCAAATCAAGAATACACCCCTGGGCCTGCTTAGTAAGGCCCATATTAAAAAGGCCAGAAATAACAATTGTTGGCAGCAGAAGGTGGAGAAACAGGAATCATCAGATACTGTGGGTGGGGATGAAAACTGGGCCTGACTCTGAAAAATGGGATGGAGACCTCTCAAAATATTAAAAATGGTCCTAACATTTGTTTCATTTTTATTCCACAATTAGATATCCAAAAAAACCCAAAACACTTAAGTAGAAGCTATACGCATTCTGATGATCACTGTAGCACTGTTTATGATAGTCAAGATGCAGAAACGACCCAAGGGCTGTAGAGATGCTGTGCCATATGTGCACAAAGGGCTTACCTAAGAAAAAACACAACCTTACACTTTGCAATAATAGGGATGAACTGAAGGGGCCCAGGCTAAGTGAAGGAAGTCAAGAGAAAGACAAATATCAAGATGATCTCATATGTGATTATATATATATGTATATATATGTGTATATATGTATATATATAAACACACACATACATACAAACATATATATATACATATATATCACATCTGCAGAGATGCCTCCAGACCCCCAAATCATCATCCAATTAAAAATTTAACTCCAGCTGTATCACCTTATTTAAAATCTTAGAAATCCTGGAGCAGCCTCGAGACATCTACTCTATACCACTGATATACCAAGAGTAGCACACCAGGAAAATCAGAAAAATGGGAAAAAACAGACACACCTATGGAATCAGATCCACCCTCTCCCCCCCACACACACAAAGGAAGGAGGGGCCCAATGCATTATGGGGGAGTGATGCTGGGTGTGGCAGAGTAATATAAACTTTGGAGTAATGTGACCCCAAAGAGAGTCAGTAAACTACTGCTACCAAAATAACTTTTCTTTTATGAAAAGTAACAAATGTGTACAGTAAAGAGATAATGTGGGAACAACTGCAAGTGCTTGTGTTTTGGATTTTTAATTTACCATACCTGGAAAAATAAAATTTACTATTCACTATATTTTAGTTTCTAAAGCACTAAAATATACTCAGGATTGCATTACATTCAGTAAAAGAATTTCAACACTTTTGCACTTGTATTTATCATTATTAGATGACAATTTTGTTTTGATTGTCATTTAACTTGACTTTGCTTAGTGTTAAGAACAGAGAGCTGTATTTAAAAGTCATCCAACAAATATTCACTTCTATTCCAGACACTTAGGATATTAAACAAATATTGAACTACAAGCAACTCTTTGACTTGGGCTTACTAATGTCATTTTTGTTATTATTAGATTTATAAATTTCTCCGAATGCATAAAAAATTATTTATTTCTTGTATTATCAAAAACATTCTTTCTTGGGGACTTGGCTATCTCCGTGTATGCACCCCAGGCATCCTCTAGGACCCTAGGATGCTCAACATCCCTGAACCTCTTCCTGTTAATCCCCAACACTGTGCCGGTCTTCTTCCTCCCCCAGATTGTACCCCCACACACACCAGGTACGCATAGGGGGTGTGACCTCTTCAGAAGTGGGCCTGGCTTCTGTAGAAGTGGACATGGCCTAATTTTGGGCAGGTGGACGCCACACGGCCGCAGGTAATCTACTCATACCCAGCAATTTCAAGTAACATCTCAGTCTCCATACCTCCACACCAACATGAAGAAACAACGCAAATCCCCACCACGTGGGGAGGACGATGAAAAGAGTCCAGAAGCCTCAGAAGGTGCTACTCACCTAAGGGACCTCTCTGAGAAAGAATTCAGATATGAATTAATGAAGATGTTCAATGAACTCAATGAAACAGTGAGACAGATATCCAGTAAATTGAAGGAGAACATGAAAGAAACAATGGATCGAACAATCAAGAAAATATGGGAAGAAATGAGAGCAGAAATTGGAAAGCTACGCACAGAAATGTCACGAATCAAAGATTCCATAGATGAAATAAAAAAAAAAACTCAGTCTGTGCCCTCAACAGTAGAATGGCCACAGCTGAAGACAGAATCAGTGAGCTGGAAGATCAGCTGCACGAAGCATACAGGCAACAACAAACAATGGCAAGAGACCTCAAAATAGCTCTTGAGCAAATCAGGGTCCTAGGAGATGATTCCAAGAGGAACAACATTAGATTCCTTGGAGTACCAGAAGGTCAGGGAAACAATCCCAATGAAAAGCCATAGTTAAACAAATCATTGCTGAAAAATTCCCAGAGCTGGACAATGCAGCCATTCAGATTCAAGGAGCCCAAAGGGTGCCAGCTAAAAGAGACCCTACCAAAAACACTCCAAGGCATATCATAGTAAAAATGATGGATGCCATGGATAGAGACAAAATACTGAAAGCAGCAAGGTCAAAGAAGGAAAT